CTCACGGGCACAATTTATTGCTGCAGTTTTTATTTTTCTCTTTTTAGAAAATTCACAGTTGGGCATCTGGAAATTCCTAGAAGCCCTTGGCCATGCAAGTAGGCTTTGAGGTGTAGAGGTGGATAAGCCCTGGAATGGAACTTCCTTGACTCAAATTTTACTTGCTTATCATTTGATAACAAATTTTTCTTGCCTTTTTTTCCTACATACTTTGTCATTTCCTTTGAAGGGGGAGAAGGCCTAGTCATTGAATTTATGTTTTTCAAAGAATTGGTAGCCTTTTTAATAATAAATCTGCGTTATAATAATGACCATGTACAACACTCTCTCTCTTCACCTCTCTGGAAGTGGCCCCTAGACTTGAAGTCTGGGGAGTCCCTGGCCCCTTTTCCTTGTTGCCTTCAGATAACTAGGCTTTCTTTGTAAGCTTAAGGCAAAGCTCTAGCTGGGCCAATCTGAGGCCATTTTTGTTTTTATTTATAAAATAAGAGCCTCTGAGTGGAGGATCTCAAAGCCCCTTTAGCTCTGAAACACTCATGGCTTGTCAAGCAACACCTCCAAAGATGATCCAATTTATTCAATGCATGAGCCTGATAAACACACAGAACTTAGCACCCATTTCCAATATCTATTATGAAAACACTTCCCACCTCCTTTATTGAGTTTTCATTTATATTTCTACAGCTGACAACCATCTAACAACAACAAAAAGCCACAACTAAAACAACATTTTTGCAAAAGACCATTCATTTCCATCTTATTGGAATCACTTGCCTACTCCATGGGAATAAATATGGAATATTTCACTGTGAACAATTACATTTTAAATGATAAACTGTTGCTGAGATCATCACTGGAATGCCTACTGGTATCAGAACAGCAGTACTAATTATTAGCTAACCACTTTAGATGGCTAATATCTAATCTAAGCTCTGTCATTAACTGGCCAAGTGGCCTAGAATAAACTTCAGTTTCCTTATCTGTAAAGTGGGAATTGGGCCATTGACCCAGCTCTTGAAAAGCACTTGTAATCACTCCTAGTCTCAGAGGGCAAATGACCACCTGGGACCATCTGAGACTCTTTGGGAGATGCATTTACTCTTTGGGGCCATTAGGAGAACCATTTAGTACTGTAGCAATGATTTACTAATGTTGCCCCAGTGGCCCCAAAGAGTTAATGCACTTTCCATATACCTCCTGCTTTCTCTGTGTAAATCAACTAATCTATCAGATGACGCCTTTGACAAGTCAATTTGCTTGACACAGGTGGACATTTTACTCCCAGACAGTACTTGCATCTTCTTGGCTCATAAAAGAACCAGAGCCAAACCCCAATAGGCATCTATACACACTCTAAATCACTGAGTACTTTGGGATTATTTATGAAACAGAGATGTTAACTGCCATAACCTCCCAGTGCCACTCTTGTATTCTCTGATCTTTAGAAGAACAATGCTGAATGGTGGTACTGGAGTTACTCGATAGTCTTGATTTTAAATGTTTTATTAATAATAGCTATAGGGTATGAACATCTATCCACCCACTTGTCTTTCTCTCCTTCCATTTGGATTCAAAGAATGGGACTTTCAAGAAGGTGAATCCTACTATGTTCTGGGTCCCCTCCTAGCTGTTGTCTCCTCAAGTAGCAATTTGATCAAATAATGATGCAAGTCTCTCTTGCATCATTAAACTTTGTTTTTTTTGCTTTTCTCTTCCAAACTGTATGAAAAGTTCTACTCTTAAATAAATCATACCATCCCTGGACTTTATGCCCTCCTTTGCCTCTCTCCCTCTCTTTCCTTTCTTTCCTAGATATGCTTGTGAAAGAGAAGTCCATACTTACTGTCTTCACTTCATCACTCACTTACTCCATAACCCACTGTAGCCTTCTCTGACTGCCAGTTATCATTGATAAGAGCCTAGGTCCTCTGGGTTTTCAAGAAACTATACAATGTCTCAGATCTATAGAAAAATTGATTGGCTTAAATACAAAAAGAGAACTAAAAAATTTTAAGTAGTACTAATTTCAAAAGGAAAAAGTTTTAATCCCCTAAATTTTTTTATGATATAAATTTAATGTGGAATTTGGTACATTTTAATGTTTGCTATAATATGGGGTGGGATCTCAAAAATCAGCATGTTCAATGTCTAGGAAAGTTTTAGATGACCCTGTTCAGAAATATCCTAATTGCCAAATCCAATGGGCCATTTTCAGTCCTTATTAAAAATGACATTATTTGATAATGTTGACCATATCCTCCTTTATCAAATTACCTTTGTTTCTGTGATAGCGACATCTTATATTTTAACTGATCTCTTTGATCACTTCTGCTTAGTCTCCAGAATTCCATCTTGGTTGTCTTCTCACTTCATATATTTTCCTTGGCAATCACATCAAAACCCAGATTCCTATGCTCATCTGTATTCTGAACTCCATTACCATCCTTCCTGGCACGTCAACTTCAACTGCTGTCATCTTTTGACCTTGAAAGTCTGCTCTTCCTCCCATGTTCCTATCTGAGTAAATGGTACACTATTCATTAAACTGCTCAATCCAGTAATCTGGGAGACATCTTACACCTTTCTTTCTCTCACATCTTATATCACCAATTAATTCAATTCCTATGTTCTCATAAATCTGTCTACTTCTCTCCATATTTTAAAAACATTCTCGTTCTGTCACTCTGTGCTTAATCTCTTCAGCGGTTCCCACTAACTTGGGACAAAGCCCAAAATCTTACCATGACTCATAAGATACTCCATGAGCTGGCCTCAGCCTGCCTCCCCAGCCTCAGTTCCAGCCACTCTTCTCTCCCCACTCCTCTCAATACAAAAGCTGTAGCCAGACTGGTTTTCTTCTTACTTTGCTCTCACAGTGGTCTCTTCCCTTTTCACAAGGTTTTCCTCATCATGGAACATCTTTCTACCCACTCTTTCCCTAGACAGGCCTTCCTTGAATCTCCAGATCATGTCAGCCGTCCCCATACCCACCACCATTACACTCTTACTACACTCTGGGCCTCACCTTCTGTAGCTCTCCAACTCACTTTGTTCAATGCCTATTTTCCCCAATAATAAGAGTGCCTAATATTTATTGAGTATTTCCTATGTACAAGGCAGTTTTATATACATTATCTCATTTTAATCATCACAAGAACTATGAGGTAGGTTCTATTATTACTCTCGTTTTACAGATTAGGATACTGAAGCACTGAGAAATTGAAGACCACATAGCTAGTGAAGGGGAAATTAAAACTGGAACCTAGGCAGTCTGCATCCAGAGTATCCATGAGTATCCATGATTAATATTGCTTCAGTGAAGCAGTAAGCTCCACAAGGGCAGGAGACATATCTTGTACCTCCAGAGCCTAACACAGGATTGGCACATAGTAGGGCCAACTAGGAATTGCTGAAATAATTAATACAGCCCAAATTCCTAAGCTGGTATACAGGGTCCTCCATAATCTTACCCTGACCTACCTCTCCAGCCTTTTTTCCCAGCAGGCCTGTCCCCTCTTCCCCATGGCTTATCTTCTACCCATATAAGCAGTTCCCTGAACAGGCCATAGTGGTTCACACCTCTGCCTTTTGTATGTTCATTAACTCACTTGCTCATTCATCTATCCATTCACTCTCTCATCATTCATTCATTTACTGAATACCTACTCAAGGCCAGGGAGAGGGAAAAGTCCTATGATACATGATTGCTATAGGAACACAAAAGAGGGATCTCCAAATAAGACTGAGGAGACAAGAATGTCTCCTGCGAGAGTTAACACTAAAATTTGACTTTTCATTTCCCTGGAATGTGCCCATCTGTATGGTAAGCCCCTATTCATCTTTCCAGGCTCTGCTCAATTGTCTCTTCCAGTGCTTTCTCCATGGTAGAACTTGCAGAGGTCCTGTACCACGTGTCTTCAGATCATGACCTCCCCTGTCAGACAGTGAGATCCTCTTACTCTCTGTGTATCAGTCTCAACACAGGGGGTTCCTGGCACAGAGATACTCATTAAAGCACTGATGAATGAACAAACAGAATGATCGTCCTTTTGGTGAAAACACTCCAATTTATTATACAACTCTGTGCCCTTACCTGAAAACATGGAATTTGGGTTGATTTACAGAATAGACATATTTGTTCACTTAAAGAATAGACATATTTGTTCACTTAAAGAATAGACATATTTTTCTTAACATACAAATAAGAGAGATTGGGGCACCAATGACACCTGGCATCATTGTATCATTTTATTTTAGACACAGATATATAAATTACATAAAAACACTTATATAAACACACACACACTCTCACCCACACGCTTTTGTCAATTTGGTGAATCTAATGACTTAAGAAAATAAGAATTCACACCATCAGGCATGTTTTCCTGAGAGCTCTGGACACTGTGGAGAATATTACATGACAGGATGTTAGAATGTTTTCTGAAAGACAAGATGATCCTAACGATTCTCTCATCAATGAGAAAAGACTTTTTCATTATTAGAAACAGGCCCTAAAGGGTAGGCTGCTAATGTGTTTTGTACACATGTGAAAAAAATGATGCCATTTATACATTTTGGACTAACATCAAAGCACACTTCCGTCACACTGTTCTTGGGTTTGTCATATGGAGGGATCTTTGAAAATTGCAATGAGATGCAAACTTACCCCATGTCCTCTACTCTAAATACATGAAGGATGGCTTTGACTCTCTGGGGACCAAGGCTCTTATGGTTGCTGCTGAGGACGACGCCTGGCATTCTGCAATCCCGTGTCTGTTTTGAGTGTGTAACCCTGAGCTGCCTCTTTCTCATTCTTGGGGTAAGTTTTCTCACCTGCCAAATGAGTAGGTTGGACTAGAGCAGGAGGCGCAAACTTTTTCGGTAAAGGATGAGGTATCAAATATTTTAGGCTTTGGATCCCATGGTCTGTGTTACAACTACTTAACTCTGTCATTGTAGTGTGAGGGCAGCCATTTAAATGTGTAAACAAACAGGCACGCTTGCTTTCCAATAAAATTTTATTTACAAAAACAGGCAGTGGGCCAGATTTGGCCAGTGGGTCATAGTTGCAGACACCTGGACTAAATGAATTCTAGGATCCCTTTAAGCTTTCTTCTGCCATGATATTCAGTTTAAATCATCCTGTGGGAGTTCAGAATTGGGGGACAGCTGGAAAAAAAGAGGAGCACACTTTAAAGAATCATTGGCTGGATGAGATTACTATATTTGACTTATCTTTTCACTTAGAATCTTTTAACTTTGTAGCATAATGCCCCCATTATATTTAGCAATTAGAGTGCCATCACAAAGTAAAATGTAAAACCATTATTCCTTGAAAAGAGAAAAGGCTTGTGGTATGAAATGATGCATGCAAGGAGTGTGGGTGATAATTTACTCATATAATCATTTCTATTTCAGTTCTATGGCAAGTATTTCTGGAGATGGCTCACAAGGCAAGGAGATCTTTAAGATGTGCACACCATAATTAACCTTTTTATATACTCTGATAGAAATATCAGTAGTCTTTTCTCTGTTAGCAGTTTTAACTTTACTTATGGCCTATGGAATGATTTGAATTAAAGAATGATGATTATAAGAAAAAAAAACCTTTCTACCTTGGGTTTAAAACAAAACATGCATATTCTTTCTGTTATTTTTATTTCATGGTTAAGTTCTAGACAATGAACACCTCTATCTTTTTTTTCTCCCTGGCACAGGAGATTAGACAATGAACTGGCTGCTATTTCTGTAAGATACAGATCAGTGATTCTCTCTTTTGTTTTTGAGGAAGATTAGCCCTGAGCTAACATCTGCTGCCAATCCTCCTCTTTTTGCTGAGGAAGATTGGCCTTGAACTAACATCTGTGCCCATCTTCCTCTATTTTATATGTGGGACACCTGCCACAGCATGGCTTGACAAGCTGTGCCTAGGTCCGCACCCAGGATCTGAACGAGTGAACTCCGGGTCACTGGGGCAGAACATGCAAATTTAACTACTGCACCACCAGGCTGGCCCTGCCCCTGATCAGGGGTTCTTGAAGTGTGGTCTCTGAACCAGCAGCATCAGTATCAGCATCACCTGGGAACTTGTTAGAAATGCAAATCCTTCAGCCCTACCCCAGACCTACTGAATGAGAACTCTGGGAGTGGGACCTAGTACTCTGTGTTTTAACAAGCTCTCCAGGTGATTCTGATGCCTGATAAAGTTTAAAAACCACTGGTATAGAGTATTACTTTCTAGAAACACAAGTTAAGGAGAAGACCCAACCTCAGGCAAAGAGCAGAATGACTTCAGAGTTTGCACATTCAGAAGGTGCCAGAATAAAGGCAACAAGCTTCTTGCTGTATATTATAAGAATAAAAAGTGCCAAGAAAGACAAACAATAGGGAGGAAGAGAGACATAAAACCTTGGTGAGTAGGAGGAACTAGAAAACCCCAGACGTTCCATTTACAGCTGTGGTTCAGCTCATAGACATCACCACCACCTCCAGTCTCAAAGTCATTCATTCAACAACCCTCACCAGGATTGATGGATGAAGACTGTGCTAGGTGATGGGGACACAGAAATGAAGAAGATATTCTCCCTGTCTGTCAAGAGTTCAAAGTCTTGGAGTGAAAAAAGAAAAGAAATATCTCCTTTGAGAAGTTACGAGGACCTAATAGTCAAAGTCAAAGGGAGAAGCTGGATGGCAGGAGTGACAGTAGAGAGAGGATGAAGAGAACAAACATAAAAGAGGAGAAATGGGAGGATAAAGAGAGTGAGCATTAAACAATTTTATTTGTATTGAACATTTAGGAATCTGTCCTTTCAATCTCTCCAATTACTCAATGGCAAGCTCTGCTCCGATTGGAGATACAGATCCCTGACTATTCTTCACTCCCTCACTGCTCCACTGAACAGAACCGTAGAACTGCAACCAATAGCCTCTTTTTCCCTTATGATGCTTACAGTTGGCAAAAAGCAAAAGTAACAGAGAGACATAAACCATTAAGCTGTGTATGGATCAGAGACAACATATTTGTATATTAACATGACCTGACCACTTTTCTAGTTCTGTGGCATAGCATTAATCTTAGAGCCTCAGCTTAAAATCATCTTTGGGTCCACAAGGAGAGTGTTATAGATGAAACCATGTTATTAAAAACTGACATCAAATCAAACATCATAGGGCTTTTAGGGTTTTGATGATTTCTAGAAGTTACCTTGTCAGACTCAAATGTTTTAAAGAATGATTTTATCATTTTAGTGAAATATGTATGTCCAATTATTGTTTAAAAAAATTTCAAGCAATACAAAAAGGTACAAAGAAAGAAGTAATTACCCAAAGTAAAGATTACTAATATTTGGTAAACAGAATGCATAAATACAAGTAGAAGGATAGGATAATTAGAAATGGTTTCAGAAAGGGGGATCATATGGTGCATGCTATTTTTTAAAAAAAGTTTTTATTTTGGGATAATTTTAGATTTACAGAAATGTTGCAAAGATAGTACAGAGTATTCTCATATACCCCTCACCCAGCTTTCTCTACTGTTAACATCTTACATTACCGTGGTACTTTTAACACAACTATGAAAAAAACATTGGTACATTACTATTAACTAAATTCAAGACCTTTGAGATTCACCAGTTTTCCACTAAGGTGCTCTTTCTGTTCCAAGGTCCACACTGCATTTAGTTGTTAGGTATTGTATTAGGATCCTCCAGAGAAGCAGAACCAATAGGATGTATATATACATATATATATGTATATATATATATATATATAAAGAGATGTATTTTAAGAAATTGGCTCACATGATTTTGGAGGTTAAAACACCTCAAGATTTGCAGTCAGCAAGCTGGAGACCCAGGGGAGCTGATGTATAGGTCCACTCTGAAGGCCAGCAGGCTGGTGACCCTGGAAGAGTGGATGTTTCAGTTCAAATCCAAAGACGGGGAAAAAAAGCAATGTCCCAGCTCAAAGCAGTCAGGCAAGAGGAGTTCCTCCTTACTTAGCCTTTTTGTTCTATTCATGTCTTCAATTGATTGGGTGAGGCCCACCCACATTAGGGAGGGCAATCTGCCTTACTCAGTCTACCCATTCAAGTGTCAATTTCATCCAAAAACACCCTCACAGACACACCCAGAATAATGTTTGACCAAAAGTCTGGGCACCTTGTGGCCCAGTCAATTGACACACAAAATTAACCACACGTACTATTTTTAATTTAATATAACATCCTTGTCAGATCATTTCATAAGTGACATCCTTCACTTAAAATGCTCACAGTAAGCACACAGCTCTCTCCATGCCCCTGCATTTCTGTCTCCATTGGTTCAGCTGGATATTTCCATGAGTCAACTGTGTTTGAACCCAAACTTTTAAAATCATGTAACTTAATTAAATTTTATGAAAAATGATGTAATACCAATGCAAAAAGAATGAATTCCATAAAGACTAGGTTGAGTATGTTAGGACGACTGGATAGATGTAAGGTAATTCAAAATTTGCTTTCAAATTAGGTGTGAGCATGACTCTGGTAAAGTATTGAGAGGTAGAAGGGGATCTGGGAGGATTCTGCACTCAGATTCTTTCCCAAGTATCTTTCAGTTCTTGTTTCACTTTAAAGAAACTGAAATGGAAATCCTGGAGAGTGCATTATTGGTGTAATTCATGCAAAAAAGATGGCCAGGGGGAATTCCAATCAGGGGACCACTCTCAAAGAAAAGATCTTGGGCCCAAATCAAAAGATTGGCAAATGACTATAAATAGGGTTTATATTAAAACATGCAGTTGGGGAAGATGAAAAAGTTCTGGAGATGGAAAGTGGTGATAGTTGCACAACAATATGAATATATTAATGTCACAGAACTGTACACTTAAAAATGGTTAACATAAATTTTATATTATCTGTATTTTATCACAATACAAAAATAAAATATGCAAAGTAAGTATGTATATTTTTTCAGATCCTTGTTTCAACAATTATTTTTTGTTAACTTACAAATGGTTGCATTAGATAAGAGGGCTTATTCTGTATTAAATTTATTTTTATTTTAATTTAATAGAAGAAAGGGACACCAACATGAAATTGAGTGAATTTCAGGTAAATGATCCTTTTTGTGATTTTAAATCAAGACATTTTGATTCTCTAACATTGCTCTAAATTTAAGAGAAAAAAATACTGAGAAAAACTTTAAGAGGTTAGACCAATGTTTCTCAATCCAAGGCAGTGCCAAGTTCTTAGGGTGCATTTAGAAATCCATGGACATGGTTTTACAGGTCACAGTAACTGAGGTGATCCTGGCATTAGTGGCTGGGCTCCAGAGATGCCAAACATCTTATAATGCACAAGACAGTCCTCACCTCCAAGACATGGCCACCCCACATGTCAATAATTCCCCCAGTGACAAACATTGAGGTAGAGTGAATATATTTGTTAAATTTTGTTTCAATTTTGCATAGTATCTATTGACTTCCTTATGGAATTCGAGAAAACAGATACCATTTCACTTTCTTCCACCTCTCTCCTTCTAACCCCATTTTTGCTTAGTTATATTATTATTTACAATGCTTGGGTTTATAATATTTATATTCTGTCCTGAAACCATAATTCAAATAGTTGTTTACTCTTGATTCTATTTTCAATGATTTGGTGCTCACCACCACACCTTCTCCTTCTCCATGGCTTCTCATTTCTGCACTCTTGACTTTGATTCATCTACTTGGTTGCCTAGATTTTGTCATATGATAGTTTTTAATTAATTAATTTTTTATTCCAAGAAAAGCTCATGGATTTTGATTTCTTCTTTCATGTTTGTCTGTGCATTTATCCTAGGAGGATAATTTGATTGGGTTCAAAATTTTCAAGTCATGCTTCTTTTCTTCAGAACTCTGTAGACATTGTTTCACTGTCTTTGGTTTTGAGGGTGGTGTGGGGAAAGGCACGTTTCTTTTATTACCTTTTTAATATAATATTTGATTCATTTAAATTATTAAATATAAAATATATAAATTATAAATAAAATCAAAACTTTTAAATAATCGCTCAAAAACTAAAAGAATCACCAATACCGTTGCATCTACCTATGAGTTCCTCCCTTGTCCATTTCCCTCTTTCCCTTCTGAGGGAGCAACTGCCTAACATTTATCTTTCCTTTGCAATATTCCAAATAGTTTTATCA